TGGTAAGTGGAGATGGCTCAAGGTAAAAATGTTCCAATGCTAGAAGTGAGGCTCACCAGACATACCAAGCAAGAAGCACGAAAATACAGAGATGAATATAAGTCTTAACCACATTCTTTTATGGGGATTGAGGTGAGGGAGAAGAGATGAAAGGGCAATACCCCTTTAAGACTAGGAGGAGCTTTACTATTGGTAAAACATATTCACATGTATTTAGCACATCTGGCCTTCACAGTCTTGGGAGCGGGCGTAGCCAGACTCCAAGGACACATGGTTATGAGTAGGAGGGCTGACCCACTTCTTCTGGACTCTTGCCCAATTTCTTTATTCACTACAGCATATTGCCCCCTCCCACGTGTGTGTGTGTGTGTGTGTGTGTGTGTGTGTGTATGTGTGTGTGGTCATGTCCCTCTGGGCAGATCCCACATGCAAGGGAATTTATGTGAAGGCAGGAATCAAGTGTTCGCTTCTGAGACACTATATTTACCAACATCTTCTGAAGCTGGGCTGCAGATTTAAAAAAAACACAGGGAATGGGCTATGGGTCAGCTATAATGTCTTAGACAAAGTTAGTTTTCTTCTCAGTAAAATAACAAGCACCCTGTGGGGCTGGTGTAGAGCTCAGACATAATGTGCACTAAATACCTAGCCTCTGGCCCACCATGAATATTACAAGCAGTCAATAAATGGCAGCTGTTAATATCCTGTATATTGTGATTGGACTGTGTGCAGAAACCCACCTGTTTACAAATAACAAGTACCATCTTGGTTTAGGGCCGAGGGCTGCTGAATTTGTCTACATCCAAATAACATTTTAGGTATTTTCTACAGAGCTCTGCCTTTAGAAATCCTACTCTCACTCCTTGCCCAGTCCCTATAACTCATCACAACCCATTCTCTAATTCCTCTAATTCCTGGTACTTGCCAATGGATTTGCTAGTTAATCATGACGGATAATCTAATGTTGGAATCAACAGAATATGGAGGTATTTCAGAGGACTGAGAGACCTCAGTAGGTCTGCAGTTCACATTCATTGGTAGGGAGCCTGAATCAGATGACAGGACCTGGAGGTGGTGGGTCAGGCAGCTCATGGTATCGCAGATAGCTAAGTTAGGTAGAGACTGATAGGCATTGAGAAAGGGGCTGGGAACAAGACAGAGTCAGAATAGAGCTGAGGAAAACTAGACCTGTGGTTGAGGACTGACTTGATAGAAACTAGGTCCCGAGATGGACACATGAGGGCTAGGCCTACAAGCCTCACCAAGATGAACAACTGCAAGCTGTACAGTAACTAGCCCCATCTGGTCTCATAAGCCTGAGCAATGTAACAAACACACAGAAACAACATAATAAACACTTGGACAGATGACAAGAGCACCAAACTCTCACTCTTGCCCTTTCCAGAAATGCCTTTGTTCTTTTCCAAGCTGTGCATCCTCTCCATGTACCTTTGTTTTTCTACTACACCAATATCAGTTAAGTGACTGTATCTATCATCCTATAATTTGAGTACAGTTTGAGTCAATGTAGCCTGCGATGTGATTTTACTGTGTAAAACTCCCTAGACCAGCGATGGCAAACCTTTTGGAACTTTCAATGATACAAATAGCCCACGATGGCATGCTCACCATAAGTATTCCACCACTGTCCCAGACAAAGAACCTCTGTGGCAACCCCCTTTTGGGAGCTTTTTCTTAATATAACTTTTCTATTTTTCACTTCCTTTGTTCTCATGTCCATTCTTTAGCATGGTGAGATAAGAACTTGGGTTGGTGGAAATTCTAAACTCCATTACAATAGCTGCTGAGCATCTACTAGGGTCAGGCCCTACATATATGGAACCTTACAGAATAGAATCCTCACAAGGAGCTATAGGTATTGGCATTATTCCCATTTTACATATGAGGAGACTGAAGTGGTGCTAATTTAACTGTCAAAATTATTAAGATTTGAGGTTAGAGGCCAAGATTGCCTAGCTTCAAAGCCCACTGCTTCCCACCACCACCTAGATCTCTGCAAAGACATCCTTTGACCAAATCTTTAGTGTGGCTCCCGAGTACTTCCTGACTAGATCAGACCTTGGGCTTTCATCTTTGTCCCTGTAGAACTGACTATGAGCACATATCTTGCTAAGTCAGTTCAGCAAGAATCCATCACCCTTGATATCTGACCACCTTGAAATGTTATCACCAGGGCTTGCTTTCAGCAATAATTCTTTCAAGTCAGCTTAGCCCAAAGCCCCTAATATTTGATGTTTCTTCTTACTATTTTTCCATGCACTACCCCCATCTTGCCTCTTGGTTATAAACTCTCACTTGGCCCTGTTGGAGTTGGAGTCCAGTCTTCTCCCTCACTGCAAATGGTCCTATATCTATGGTTGTGCTCCTCCTGCCCCAGGATAAAGTCTGCCATATGATCTTCAACAGGCACCATGGATACATCTTTCATTAATACCTCCATCGCTCCTACCGGTTGGACCTTACACTGAAACTGGAATTGTTAGGTCCATAAGTGTGGACACATCGTTTGGAGTCTAGAGAATAGGGGAGGTGAAGACAGGGATGGTTTTGACCAGCATTCACAGATTCTGGACACCATATTGGCTTCCTCTCTGCATCTCTCTTCTGAGCTGAACTCTGTTCTGGCCTCCACCCAGCCTTAACTCTGGCTTTCACTTCTCCAAGTCACACCCCAGTGACCTTGTGTGGCTTCTCTGCAAGCCAATCCATGAGATGCATGGAGAAGATGCCAGGGGACAGGCAGGAAAAAAGTTGGGGGTAGAGTCCAGCAGAGTCCAGAACTTTACACTGTGTGTAGCTGCCCAAGACCCTCAAGTGACCCTGAGACACTCTGACATCTCCTTCCAGGTTGTGAGACCATGTGGAACCCAGGCATGTTAGGTTCAATTTTAGTATCAGCTGGACCTCATTAGCTTTGGTGGGGGCCAGCCCCTTTCACAGAGCTTCATTGTTCTCAGGAACCTGGCAGGAATGTTTATCATTTCAGAAACTGAGAAGGCCTGGCTCTCTTCCTTCAAGCTTTGGGGCTGTCCTTTCTTCAGATGCTAATCCATAAAGCCGTTCCAAGCCAGGCCTCAGAAGAAGCTCAGGGCTGGGGTGGAGTCCAAACCCTCATTTCCCTTAGGAGGAAGGCAGGTGTGAAGTCAACACCTGGAAAGCAGCCAGATGGAAAGATAGAGCAACAGCTCAGAATGTCACATGTCAAATAGTTCAATTGGGTAATCATCTGAAGACGGCTGTGTGTGAAGCATATGCTGGAAAGCTGTACTGAGAGTGTGAGGGACTAAACCAAGAAGACAGTTCAGGTTACCTGAGCCTGTCTCAGCCTCATCCAGCTGCAGGCTCTGGGACTAGTAGATCGGTTCTTTCCTGGCTCTGGAAATGGTATCCAGCAATCCGTACCTCAGATACTTGGGCAGTCGAACACTCCTGGAACTGCAGTGGTGCTCCACCTTAAGTGCCCATCAAATGCACAGTAGTGAACTGTAAGAAGCAGCATAGTGTAGCAGTTACCTGTCTACACACTGGTGCAGGCTATATGGCTTGAGCCCTGGCTTTGATGGTTATGAAGTGTGTGTCTTTGGGCAACTTATTTCTCTGTTTCAGGTTTTCCACCTACACCTACCTTCTGGTAAGGAATTGTGATAATTAAATAAGATATGTAAAGATTTTAAGATAATACTTGGCCTTTACAGTTATTAGGATTTTCTACTGGCTTCAGCTCATCTGTAGGTGCCTAGCTGGAGGAGTGGCATGCTTGTTTCCCACACTGCCTGCCCACTTTCTATGCCACCCTCTCTACCTCCATCCAGAGATGACTTGATTCTCTGAGTGCAAGGGGTTGGGAGGGCTCTTTCTACCTAAATGGATCCCCACACATGTGCCGCACTCCTGTCTACCACTGACCTCTTGGAGAACCACGAGTGGGGCCTCAACAGGAGTCAAAAACAGTGCCGCATTCATCCAATCCCCTTGGTGGCATGAAAGTAACCATGTTGTTGGGTGGAACCTCTTTTCCATTCTACCAAGCCCCTCTACTCTCCTGTTTCACTATCATAGGGTCCCAAGAGGCCATGTGTCTTAGCCAGGAGAAGGAGTACGCTTTGCTCACTGCAGACAAATGTTCTTTGTCTCAGTTCTTCACATTCAGTTTTCATGGCCCAGCTCAAATGAATAAAAGCTGTCAGAGATACATGATTACCTGTTCTCCATACAACACACTATTTAGAAACACTCATTTTAAAATTATATATAAACTACATATCTCTACAAGTACATATTTGAATACAGGCTAATAACTCTCTGTTGGTAATGTTTCATACATATAACAAACCCAGACAGCTCTTTCATCATTAGTGCTAAAAATATAGGACCTCTTGAAAATCCTCCCATTTCTGTTTTTTAAAAAATGTATATTCTGAACACATCATGAAGAAAACCAAGTGATTTCCTTGGAAAACTGTCCCCAAATTCTTTAGCCTCTGGAAGAAAATGCAATGGCAAATGTTTGCCCAGTAAAATGACATTTTAGGTGGAATCTGAATCAAGTCCAGATGAAGGTATACTGGTTCTTTGAGGCAGCCAAAGAAGTCGGGCTCTGGTATCCAACACTCCATTATTCATTGGTCTGAACTGCCAGGGAAACTGTCTGCATTTTGGAAATGACCAGAAAAGGGATGTGTGTGTGCAAGGAGGGGAATAGGTAGGGGACGTGAGAACAATCTGAACTATTTTTCAGGCCAACTCTGAGCTACATGCTGGGGATTTATTATTTGGAGGTGGAACAGATTGTTATTTCCTTACTGGGCACCCTGTATTCATTTCTTTGCTTATGGGATCATTTTCCTGAGCAGCCTGCATAAATTCCAGTGACCCACCAGGAGTTAGCTGCTTACGGTCCCAATAAGCAAGGCCAGTGGAAAGAACATTTTGCCCTTTGCGGAGACTTCCGCCTGAACTCTCACCCCAAGTGCACTCACCGTGGCCTTCGGAAGGTCAGGCCATAGTGCTGGCAGGCCAGCCCCACAGTGGGTGTGTACACAATGGGCATGAACTTCTCCACATCTGAAGTCAGCACGCGGTAGAAGAGCTTCTCGTTCCGGTCTTGAAGTGTCATGAGAATTATGTACCTTGGAGAGGGACAGAAGCAGCAAACTGATCTTAGGGACATGATGCTACTGTGTTCAAAGGCAGATACAGCTACAATAGCACATCCAGGAGCAAATCAAGCATCAAGATGTTGGTCTAAGCAGGGCTAATATCTATGAATTGTTCACAGATCATGTGCCTTATGGTGCTTATTATTGCACATGGTGTAAGCTCTGTTCAAAATACTTTACATGAACTCCTCTAAGAATTCCAAGGACTTCTCAGGCAAGTACTCTAATTCATGCTATTTTAGAGACATGAAGACATGGATATGGATAGGAAGCTACCCAAGCTTTTGTGGCAGTACTTAAGCCATCTGACTGGAGTCTGTTCTCTCAACCATTTTGTAAGATCATTGCATTACTAGATGGGCATTAATGAATGACAATAAAATAATAATATTTTGGGAGTGAAATAGGTCATCCAGGGGCAAGGAAAATACTATGCAAATGAATGCTGTATGAACCGACTTTTTCTACTATCCACAGGCAGAGTGCACAGTGATTGAGTGATCACAGGCAGAGTGCACAAGTGATTGAGTAGCAAAGAGGCACAGGGAAAACTCCAAAAATAACTTCTCCAGAAGCCTGAAATCACATAGCTAGGAAAAGACCTTATATTCACCTCCTAAAATGCAAAAAACCTCTGAGAAAGAAAAACAGGGGTTGAAATTCACAGTGAGGTATAACTGCTGAATCACCACCTTTTTGGACAAGAGTTTGGGAGAGGGTATGGGGGCACTTGAGGCCTTGGCATGGGGTGGGCTGAGAGAGAAGCTCTTGTGGAGGAAAGAGCTGTGTTGCGGTGGAATGATCCCTGGGCACAGTGTCAGGGTCCTGGGTTTAACTCCCAGCTCTGCCATTTACCATTCCTTGGGAAATCTTGTGACTTCCTGGGACCTCAGTCTGTTCTCCACTAAATCCACTGATCCAGAACTAGAATCTGTGTCTTGAACAGTGTCTTTAGGAAAGAAGGGTTCATGCTCAGGAATAGTCAGGATCTTAGCTCATTTCCAGTACATGAGATTTCCAATTCTACATTCTAACCCCCAAACCACTTACCCAGTGGCCATTGGTACACATCTCTTCCTAATTCCAGCCCCTACCAGAAAACCAGTTATTAAGCATGTATGAGCACACCATTGCTCTTACCCACAGGCAGCTTGGAAGCCTTCTTGGTGTTTCTCCAAGCACCTGCTCAGAGCACTCCTGGGAACAAGTGGGTCAAAGCAGCAAACTCTGCATCAGGAGGAACCCTCTAAAGCTCCCAGAAACAGGCACAGTCCTCTCTCCCTGAGCCTGGAGTTTCACCCCAGGCACATGAGGGAGGCCTATCTAGTAGGAAATAACTTGAAGGGAATGATTTGGGACTTAAATTTTAGGGTTTACTATCTTTAGGAAAGATTGCACTTTGAACTTTAATGCATTTTTATACAATTAACAGAGGAGGGAGATTCAGATTGTTAAAAGTCAGGGTGTGTCTCACACTGTTAGTTGAATTTGTTGTGTAATTTCTGGTTTTCTCTTCAGGGCAACATGGCTGGATGCAATCTGATTAGGATAAACCAGAAGGAGAAAATATTTGACCTGGGCTGCAGGGTGGTCTTGGAGTTAATGTGAGCAACACCACTAGAGTCTAGCTTTTTGGGAGTAGGGGCTATGGATGTGGGTATGGGCTTCCTTGTTCACTGTGGTTCAGCAGCTGTGGCTGGTGTGGGGATTCATGGGTAATAGGTACAGGATGACCTTGATATTCAGCTGAGCTTTGCCCTCAGAACCAGTCACAACCCCACATCTGAAGTCTTGGCCATTTGGCTCTCGGCTTGTAGAGGGAAGCCTTATCTTTCTACATTTCTGTTAGCATCTATAGAAAGAGGACACATTATATTTAACAATCTCTTACACAGTCTTTACCGAATGCCAGGTACTCTAAGCACAACATCAAGAGTAATGGGTTTAATCCTTATAACAGCCCTACAAGTTAGCTGTTTTTGTCTTACTCATGCAGATGGGAAGTGATCCAGAAAGGTGAAGTAACTTTTGTTAAGTGGTAGACCAAAGAATTGAACAAAGTTTAGAACTAGCAGAAAAGTCAACTTATCTGCACAGACAGATCCCGGAGTTAGCTGTCTTTGTTCAGATCCTGCCTGTGCCAAGTCATAGCTGTCTGACCTGGAAGGTGACTGACTACCTTCTTCAGTGAGGCTGATACGCTGACCCAGGGACTTCCAAGTGTTCCGTGTATACACATCTCAGAGAGGAGACAGAGTTGCTAACCTTTGTGCATAACCTCTAACACATGACATCCGGGTTCTTTCCAACCCACCTCCCCAACACATTTGTTTTTTTCCAGGAACCTGGTCATGTACTATTTCTTTAACACTCCTGTCTCCATCCTTCCTCTCAGTGAATTGTTCCCTATGGATTATTGTGTCTGATAAAGTCTTATCCATGCCATTTTTTCCATACTAGAGATTGAACTCAGGGCCTTCACATTGAGCTACATCCCTATTCCTTTTTAGTTTTTATTTTGAGATGGGATCTCACTAAATAGCTAAGTTGCCCAGACTGGGCTTGAACTTGCAATCCTCCTACCTCACCTTCCCAGAGTGCTGAGCTCATAGGCATAAGTCACTAACCCTGGCTTATTCTTACTCCAGAAAACCCTGTGTGGACCATGGGAAACAGCCACTCTGCCCACAGATGGCGTAAAGAGAACAGACTCCAGGCACTGACTTGTCCAGGTCACTCTGCTGCCGCTCGTAGTATCTCATGATTCTGAGGAGCTGGACATCCTGGCTCAGGAAGCAGGGTGGGATCAGGCCGTGGATTCCAAGCTGCAGCCTTTCTTCAAGTGTAAATGCCATCCCCTGTGGAGAGGGAGAAAGGACAGAAGTGGATGTGCAGGAAGCCAAACACACAGGGGTCTCATCCGCAGATGGAAAAAATCAATGCGACTCAGTAGGAAGGGTTCAAGGCCACCTGTGCCGTTGAAGTGGGTGGCAATCGCATGCCAGGTACTTTTTCTTTTTTTTTTTTTCCGTTTTTCTCCAGTACCGGGAACCGAACTCATGACCTTGCACTTGCCAGGCAGGCACTTTGCCGCTGAGCTAAATCCCCAGCCCTGCATGCCAGGTACTTTGAGGCTCCTCATTTAAAAAATGTGGAAAGTGTCTAAATTATCAGGTTTTTGTTTTTGTTTTGTTTTAAATTTATTTTTCAGAAGTTTTAGCTTTACACAAAGACAGAGAAGATAGAGTTCCCACGCACCCTTTCACCCAGTTTCCCCAATTACTATCTTCTTACGTTAGTGTGGTATATTTGCATCAGTAAACAAACATTATAGCTAATGTTGTCACTAAAGGCCATACTTTATTCAGACTTCCTCAGTTTGTACCTCATGTTATTCTTTTGTTCCAGGATCCACATTACATTTCATTGTCGTGTTCCCTTAAGCTTCCCTCAGTTGTGAGTTTCTCACACTTCCCTTGTTGTAGATGACCTTGATAGTTCGGGGGTGCCCCAGTCAGGTATTTTGTGTAATAGGGAATTCATCTGATGTTGTCCTCAAGATTAGACTGGGGAGGCAGGTCTTTTAGGGGAGAAGGGCACAGAGGTAAAGTGCCGTTTTGTCCCATCAAATCAGGAGCTCATACAGTAAATGTGACTTATCACTGATAACATGGATCTGGACCGCTTGGGTGAGGTTGTACTTGTCACTTTCTCCAGAAACTGTAAAATTACACTTGCTTAAGAATCATTCTGCCAGGGGAACTTGTCTCTGTCACCATTTATTTATATTAAAATGGACTCCCTGAGTATTTATTTTATACTTTGGTTTGTAATCCAAGAGAGCTTTGTTTATTTTGTTGCTTAAATTGTTCCAGCTTTGGGCATTGGGAGCGTTTCCAGTTAGCTCAACTGTCCCTTTGACCTACTCCCACATTATAGTGTTTTGTTTCAACAATTCCTTACTTTCTGGCACCATAAGATGCTCCTGATTCATCTTCTAGATTGATTTCCCTGGTCCTAGAATAAGCCATTTCTTCAAGGAGACCTGATGTTTTATGTATATATTATATATCAATATCTTATATATATATAAAATATATATAATATATATATGGCACTACTTAATATTGTGTTTCTTAGAGCTTCACTGTTTCTACTCCCTCTCTGCTGACAAGAAAAATGAGATATACATGTACATACTAAAGCCTGTGTATAAACACATAACTGTAGTTGTTTCAGTATTTAACTATCTGAATGTATATTAAGCCAAACATAAGGATGTCTCCTGCTCTAATCCATTACCACATGGATCATTTTAGCCTGGACACGTTTTTCGTTTGTAAATTTTGAAGTAAGAAACTTGACTCCCAACATCTGTCATCTGTTTACTTAATTGCCTAGTTCTAGTTTACATACACAGTAGTGTTAAAATTGTTAACCTGTACCACCATGGGAAGCAGTTTTGTGAACTAGAGTACGGTACTTGTGTGCAGTCCTTTTGCCTTTAGTCTCACACCACCACTAATTTCCAGTGATTTAAGTCAATACTTTTTCCTTCCACTTCACTGAGATTGTTGTTATACACATTTATAATAGAGCAGATTCTCTTGCCACGGTCTCCATGTTCTCTTGGGGTCCTCCAACCTATCGATTTTTTTTTTTTAAATCTGGATACATTAAGGGTCACTCTTTGTACTGAGAAGTTGTATGGGTTTTGATAAATGCATACTTTTATGCACCAACCACTACTGTTTTCTACAAAATCATTTCACCGTACAGAAATCCTCTGGACTCTGTTTACTCGTCTCTGCTCCCTCCCTGTTTATGCTACTGACTCATCTCCTCCCCACAAAGCTGAGAATATCAAGTGCTGTAGAGTATGTGGAGCCACAAAAACTCTCATTCATTGCTGACAGGAATGAAAAATGGCATAGATACTTTAGCAAACGCGTGTATTTACCCACTGACATGAAAACTTACGTGCACACAATAACCTGTACAAGAATATTTGTAGAAATTTTATTGATAATCATATTATTATAATCACAAAAACTGGAAACAATCAAGGTATGTTTCAATAGGAAAATGGGGGAGCAAACTATGGGTCAAAAATATATTAGAATATTATTCAGTGATACAAAGAGATGAGTGGAGGGCGCGCTGCGGTTTTGCGCAGGACGGGCACATGCACAGCGGCCGGCCTGAGGCTCCAGCTGGTGAGGTCCTGGGGAGCGCGCCGCTCCTGCGGCTCTTGACCTTTCACGCACGCCTGCAGCCTGGGCCTTGGGCCCTACCCCGCCCAACCATGGCTTCGGCTTTGGAGGAGTTGCAGAATGATCTAGGAGAGGTAAAGGCGTTGCTAGAAAAGGCCACTAGGAAGAGAGTACATGACTCCCTGACAGCTGGAAAATCCAAGACTGAAATAGAAATAAAGAATAAGATGCAACGTAAATCACAGAGGAAAGGAAAATCCAAGACTGAAACAGAAATAAAGAATAAGATGCAACGTAAATCGCAGAGGAAACAAATCACTGCTTGACAGTGAAAAACCAGCTGCTGTGGTTGCTCCCATCACAGCAAGATACACAGTGAAGATCAGTAATTACGGGTGGGCTCAGTCAGATAAGTTTGTGAAAATCTACCTTACCTTAACCGGAGTTCACCAAGTTCCTGCTGAGAACGTGCAGGTGCACTTCACAGACAGCTCATTTAGTCTTTGGGTAAAGAATCTAAATGGGAAGAGCTACTCTATGATTGTGAACAATCTCCTGAAACCCATCTCAGTAGAAGGCAGTTCAAAAAAAATCAAGACTGATACAGTTCTTATCTTGTCTAGAAAGAAAGCGGGAAACACTCGGTGGGAGTACTTAACTCAGGTTGAAAAAGAGAGCAAAGAAAAAGAAAAGCCTTCCTACGATGCTGAGACAGATCCTATGGAGGGATTAATGAATGTTCTAAAGAAAATTTATGAGGATGGAGATGATGATATGAAGTGAACCGTTAATAAAGCCCGGGTGGAATCAAGAGAGAAGCAAGCCAAAGGAGATACAGAATTTTGAGACTTTCAAGTCCTTTTGAGAACTATGATATGAAATACTGATATCTCCAATAAGGGGATGTTGGTGAGCTGCACATAGAGATTTGACAGATAGCTACAAAGCCTTCAAAGTAAAGGCAGTGACTTCTCCATTTCTTACTGGAGGATTTATTTAAATAAGATATGCTTATTTAGTACTTCTTCCAAAGATGGTTCCATTAGTATCCTGGTCATTTTGTTCACGAAAGGCTCTCATGGTATTCTCATTGAAATATAAACAGCAAGTCTTGCCTAATGAAAACAATACATTATGTATATTTTTGTTCAGCTGGGAGGTAGAAAACAAAAGTATATGCTTGCCTGTAAGTTACAGCTGTCAGCTCCCACTAATGTAAGAATAAGAGTAAAACTGAATTTTTGTATAAAATTCAAATTTGTGCTTGTGCTTCAAATTTGCTGTGGAGCAGATGATCCCCTATTGCCTGCTTGAGCAGTGCAGATAGCAGGGATTACCATGCACTAATCCAGTCGCAAATGTTTCTATTTAGATTTAAATATATTTGTTTTTGAATATACAATTGAGGTAATAGAAAAGCATGTTCGTATAGTACCAGTTAGTAAGTTCTACCATGGATCAGATAGCTTCAAAACTAATAACCCTAAAGTAAAAATAATTAACTTGAAAATCCGTTTATTCCTATGTTCAATAAAGTTGGATTTTTATGTAAAAAGAGATGAGTTGTCAAGACATGAATATATATAGATGAACCCTAGGCATATATTTCTAAGTAAAACAAGTTTTATAAAGAAGATTTGGAAGCTTCCTGGAAAGCTACAGTAACTAGAACAGTGTGCTACTGGCATAAGTATAGACATGTAGATCAATTAAATACAACTAAGAGTTTAGAAATAAATCCATACATCTATGGCAAATTGATTTTCAACAAGCACACTAGTCAAGTTCATTCAATAAGAAAAAAACAGTCTCTTTGGTCATGGTGTGGGGACAGTTAGGTTTCTGTATACCTAAGACTGTGGTTGGATCCCTATCTCATATCATACACAAATATTTACTCAAAATGGATCAACAACGTACATATACAGTCAAAACCCATAAAGCTTCTAGAAGAAAATATGGGGGTAGAACTTCATCAACTTAAATTTAGAAATGGATTCATAGATAAGACACAAAAAGCATAAACAACAACAACAATAACAAAATAAATCAATTGGACATCAAAATTAAAAAATTTTATGCATCATAAGACACTATCTCTTTTTTTCTTTTTATATTGTGGGATTTTAATATAAGAAACCATGTGATATTTAAGTTTGTGTGTCTGATTATTTTACTTCATGTTATGGTCTCAAGATGTATCTATTTTCTTGTACAAATGACTCAAATTTATCCTCCTTTATAGCTGAATAGTACTCCATTGTGTGTAAATATCCTATTTTCTTATCTGTTCACCTGTGGATGGACATATAGGCCACTTCTAAGATTTAGCTATTATGAGTTCTGCTGCTATAAATATTGTTTCTGTTTTAATATTTAGATATTGACTCATTTTGATTTTATTCTAGTACATGGTGAGAGATTTGGGCCTAGGCTCTGCTTGTGTGTAGTGAGTTTTCCCAGCACTATTTGTTGAAAAGATTATCTTTTCATCAGTGTATGTTTTCAGCCCCTTTGTCAAAGATCAGAAGCCTGAATGTACTTGGCGTTGTTCCCACATCTTTTGTTCTGTTCCATTGATCCACACATCTGTTTTTGTACCAGAACTATGACTTCTTTTGGTCACTGTAGCTTTGTCATATAACTTTAAATCTGGATTTATGTTACCCCTTCCTTTGCTCTTGTTATCCAGAGTCACTTTCGCTATTTTGGGCATCTTTTTTTTTTGTTTGTTTTTTTCTCCGGTACCGGGAACGAACTCACGACCTTGCCCTTGCCAGGCAGGCACTTTGCCGCTGAGCTAAATCCCCAGCCCCCTATTTTGGGCATCTTATGGTTCCATATGAATTTGTTTTCTGAACTCTGTGAGGAATGCTTTCGGTATTTTGATTGGAATTGCATTAAGTCTATGTATCAGTTTTGGAAGTACAGTCATTGTCTTAATTACCTTTCTGTCATTGCTGAGACAAAATATCCAACACCCAAAATTAAAGGGAGGAAAGTTTTACTTGGCTCACAGTTTGTAGAGGGTTCAGTCCATAAGTGGCTTGTTCCAAGGCAGGGTGGCTTCACAGAGGAGTGCAACTCCTGGTGGGCAGAAGAGAGCAAAAGCAACAAGGGAGGAGGACAAATCTCTTATTGTCCCTTATATTGTATCCAGTCTACTGGGGTTAGAGTGGTGCCAATCCAGTCAGTGTACTGATCCTGCAATCACCCACCCTGAAGCCTAGCACTCTTAATCCCAGCATTGAACCATCAATCAATCACACACTGTATATTCAGCCACCTTTAAAAAAAGGGCCATTAAAAACTGCATGAGGCTTTGAGGGGACATTTAGACCCAAACCATAACAATTATTTGCACAATACTGGTTCTGCCTATCCAGGAGCAGAGGATATATTCTCATCTTCTGATGTTTTCTTTGGTCTTTATTCTACAAGATACTATAAAAAAACTAAAAAAGTAACTTACAGATTGGAAGAAAGTATTTGAAAATTGTATATTTATAATGGTTTAATGTACGGAATACATAAGAACCGTACAACACAATGACAAAAAGAAACACTACTCAATTAAAAATGAGGAAAGGACTACATAGATATTTTCTAAAGAAAATACACAAATGGCAAAAGTATAAGAAAATGTGCTCAGCGTCCCTCGTCAATAGGGAAATCCAATTCAAAACCACAATGAGATATCACTTTATACCCAGTAGGATGGCTGTAATAAAAGAAAGGAAAACACACACACACACAAGCATGCACGCATGCACACACACATGTGCACAAACCAAACCCAGAAAACAAAATGTTGGTGAAGTTATGGACAAATTGAAAACCTGACATATTGCTAGTGGGAATGAAAATTATTGCAGTCTATGTGGAAAATAATTCCACGGTCCTCAGAAAAGCTAAACACAGTATTACCACATAACCCAGCAATTCCACACTGGGGTGTGTATCCAAAGCAACTGAAAGCAGAAGCTTGAACTCGTACTTGTACTCCAGTGTTTAGTTCAGGATTAATCACAACAGCCAAAAGGTAGAAATAATTCAGTGGCTATCAATGTAGAAATGGGTAAACAAAGTGTATAATCATACACTTTGAAAAGTATTCAGTCATAAAAAGAAATGAAGCTCTGATATGTGCCACTACATGAAATACTTTGAAAACATTAAGCTAAGTGAAATAAGCAAGACACAAAAGCACAAGTATTGTGTAATTTGGTTACATTAAAAATCTAGGATAAGTAAATTAATAAAAACAGAAAAGTAGGTCAGAGATTAGCAGGAATTTATGAGAGGGGAAGTAATAAATTATTGCTTAATGTTTACAGAGTTTGTGTTTGGGATAAGAAAATATTTTGGAAATGAATAGACATGATGGTTGCCCAACTTGTGAGCATACTTAGTTGTACACTGAATGTTAAAGTGGAAAATTTTATGTTATATATATTTTGTCATAATTTAAAAATGACAGTGTAATGATAATGTAATATACCCCAAACTGCCAAATTTTACAACCGAAAATGGTGGACTTATATCTCGGTAAAACAGTTTTAAAAAGATAGTTTTGCAAATTTTTGATAAAAGCCTTTTCTGGGATGTATATTATAAATATCTCTCCTAGTCTGTAGCTGGGCTTTTCATTCCCTTGTAGCGTCTTTCACAGAGCAGCATTTTCTAGTTTGGGCCCTGGCAGAGCAACATCATGGAATCTGCCCCATGGACAGGCTCCCAGTTAAGCCCCATGGAGACAATGTTTCTGGCAGAAGTTGTAGGAACTGTTCTTAATAGGGCACAGGAAGACATGGGCACATAACCTGCCCAGGGATGAGAAAGTGCAGCACCTGGTGAAACTCAGGGCCTTTACACCGAGCCCTTTTAGAAAACTTTCTATTTTGAGACAGGGTCCTGCTAAATTACTAAGTTGTCCAGGCTAGGCTCCAACTTGCCACCCTCCTGTCTCAGCCTCCCAGAGAGACTTACAGGTATGTGCCACTTTTTCTAGGTGGCCCTGCTGAAGTGAGGCCTGCTCACTCCCTGCTTAGAAGCTCCTGCAGACACCTCCTCAGCTCTCTCCTGAAGTTTCTGGCAGCAGCAACTGTAGCCAGCCCCAAGGGGCTTCATGGGCAGTGGATAATTAATAAGGATGAGACCAGCAACTCTATGGGGGGTTTGTGAGGGTGGAGGGGGACTAAGAATTATTTTAAATTAATTAGTCATTTCTGTTACTATGGCCCTTGTTGTGGTCAAGGCTGATGATAGGGGGCAACTCTGATTAAGTCCTTTATTTGTAATGAGTCTCAAGTAACGCACATTTCCTGCTAAAAGTGAAGAAGGCTGCAGGGTTGGTAAGGGAGACCTCAGTTGTGCGGCTGGTGGTCTGGCCTCCACAGCTTCCCTCAGAGAGGGGAAGAGTGCAAAGACAGGAAACATCAGAGCTCTGCTCCTTCCTCTATCAGACAGAAAATATCCACGACTAGTACAAGTTCTTTACAGGGAGTCCATAACCACCAGAAGGTTATAATCCATATCATGATCATCCACACCTTAGGCTGTTGCTCTTATCAGCTCTGAAGGGGTTTAATGCACATCCAATCTTACTTTAACTTACAACCTCTTTGTAAGGGACATTTTCTAACCTTCACCTTACAGTTGAGAAGGCTCTGCAAGACAGGTTAACTGATGCTCTTGAAGTTTCATAGCTATTATTTTACATCATATTTCTTCTTAAGCCAGGATGTATCTTCTGATCAATGAGTACACTTAGCATAATTTTT